GTCACGGCGCACCAAATGGCTACAACTTCCAGTACTCAGCTTGCAATGGGCGAAGGAAAGCATTGCTCATTGGCATTAACTACTTCGGCCAACGAGGACAGCTTCGCGGCTGCATCAATGATGTCAAGAACATGAGCACATACCTGAACGAGTTCTTCGGCTACAAGAGAGAGGACATGGTCACCCTGACAGACGACCAGCAAAACCCCATGAGCCAGCCTACAAAAGCGAACATTCTGAGAGCGATGCACTGGTTGGTCAAGGACGCACAGCCCAACGACTCGTTGTTCTTCCACTACTCAGGGCACGGCGGCCAGACCAAGGATCTGGATGGTGACGAGGACGATGGCTACGACGAGGTCATCTACCCCGTTGACTTCCGCACAACCGGTCACATCGTGGACGACGAGATGCACCGCATCATGGTCACCACATTACAGCCAGGTGTCCGACTTACGGCCATTTTCGACTCTTGCCACTCTGGCTCCGCGCTCGATCTACCATACATCTACTCCACCCAGGGTGTACTCAAGGAGCCAAATCTGGCCAAGGAAGCTGGGCAAGGCTTGCTCGGTATCGTTTCAAGCTATGCGCGTGGCGATATCGGTAGCATGATTGGCGGCGCGACAAGCTTGTTCAAGAAGGCCATCAATGGCGAAGATGTGAGGAAGAAGAACTTACGGACAAAGACCAGCCCTGCGGATGTTATCATGTGGAGTGGCTCGAAGGACCAACAGACTTCTGCCGACGCATCTATTGGTGGCGAAGCCACTGGTGCCATGTCCTGGGCTTTCATTACGGCGCTACGCAAGAACCCCAACCAGAGCTACGTCCAGCTGCTGAACAGCATCCGTGAGGAGCTCGATGGCAAGTACCAGCAAAAGCCGCAGTTGAGCTGCAGTCATCCGTTGAGTAGGTTTCACAAGCAGCCTCCCCAAGCCTAAACAGCAAGCTAACGGGTCACCGCAGACGTTGACCTCTTGTACGTCATGTAAATGCACAAAAAAAGTGACTTTGAGGCTTAAAGGATGAATACTTGCATGTTTGAATTTTGGGAATAGGAATGATACCAGGACATTGTTGGGCTTGGTGCATAAAATGTAATGGACATGGATTACGGCTGTTTATGATTGTGTATAACTCATTGTTCTTGTAAATACTTCTGGCAAGAAGTTGGCCTTTTGGCTGCTTGGCGCTTTGGATACGCGAGAAGGAAAGAATTCTATCACGATTTCGTCATGCGATAGGCCTTCAATCTGTGTGTTCACGGAAAACAATCCCGAAACTGTCAAATGTAAAGGATAGCATGATGGTCTGACGAATGCAGCGCAGCTTAGTGGCGGTGCGCTAGCGGCCAGGTGCAGGGATGATGCGGGTCGATGTCGAGGGGACCTTCAATCGCCAAAACTTTTGAACGAGCTTCGGAACGCTCATCAAGCATCCCATCGCCAGCAATGCGGAGAGCACGTGGTCTCCGGGTACGAATCCACACTTTACATGCGTTTCCCTCCAGACTCTGACAATATGATAGGTGTCGTCAACGCGCGATGTCTGCATCTTTTGCGCCACTCGTCAACTCGCAGTTGCAGAGGGACCCTTTTCCTGTCCGATCCCGAGCCAGCGAAGGCAATTGAACTCGTCAAGTAGGGCGCCGCAGTCCGCTGAAGGAATTATGTACAAAGATGCGAACGAAGGGCCCAAAGCCATGTCGCAGGCGGAGAAGATGCGAGCAGCGCTGGCCGCCAACGCTGCCTTTGCGCCTCCGATGCAGGCGCAAGGAGCCTACCTGTCCCCGGCACACAGGGCGAGAGCAGCTCTAGGCACTCAAACACCGCAGCAGGCCCAATCGCACGCTCAACGGCAGCCTCCGCCTGACCGACGATCATCCAACAGAAGCAGTGTCTTCGACGGACCAGGGCGCAACCAGAGTAGAGACAGATACGCACCCCAAGCCCGAAGAGTGACCAGCAGCGATGGTTACACGACGTATAGACCTTCCCCTCCCGCAACACCGCAGAGCAGGTACCGGGTCAATATGGAGTCGAGACCTCAGGTTGACATGCCAGCATTTGGCGCAGGACACTTGAGGCGGAGAACCGAGCGACAGCCAGAGCGGGCACAGTATAATGCAGAGGAGCAGCGACCACGGCCAGCCACTCGAACTCAACCAAGACGCACTATAGATCAAGATGAGATATCGAGGCTGTTGGGAAATGCTGTCACAGATCGTCCCACGACACAATACAGGCCACTCACGAGAGAGGCGAATACGCAGAGAAAGTGCTGGCATTGTGGTTCGCTTCAGCATCAGAGCTTCGATTGCCCATCCAAACCCATCCTTCGTGAACGAACCCCACCAAGGCGCCAACAAGCACAACAGTCCGAATCAATAGCAGATGCGGCACAGCAATGGAGACAGAAGGCAGGCGCTGAGGTGGAAGCTGAACGTCCGCCCACGGTGCAAGAGGAAGCAGATCGACGAGCCCGCAATGTTGGCCAAGACCGACGCAGCAGCAGATTCGATCTTGGTGATGTTGAAGAAGTCAAGAACAGGTACGAACAGCCCGAAAAGCGGCGAGGCGGATTCAAAGGGCGACGTGTCATGCGGGAAGAGGAGGATGAAGAGGGCTCCGAACGAGTTGTGGGCAAAGCAGAACGCAAGCGATTACGCGCAGAGGCAAAGAAGGCTGCGCAGATCGCTAAAGCAGAGCCGACGCCCATCCAGCTCCCGGAATACATCAGCGTAGCCAATCTTGCTTCCATGCTCAAGACGAGGACAGAAGACTTTGCAAGAAAGCTGGAGGATCTGGGATTTGAGGATGTACAGAATGACCACATTCTAAATGCAGAGCATGCTGGTCTCATTGCTCAAGAGTTCAACTTTGAGCCTCTCTTCCAGGCTGAGGAAGAGGATGGAGACCTGTATCCCGCGCCCGCCACTAGTCCTGAAGAATATGCTGAGCTTCCCGCGAGACCGCCAGTTGTCACTATCATGGGTCACGTTGACCACGGCAAGACCACGATTCTTGACTACATGCGCTCGACAAGCGTGGCTGCGACCGAGTTTGGCGGTATCACGCAGCATATCGGTGCATTCAGCGTACCCCTGGCGAACGGCAAGAAGATCACCTTCCTCGACACGCCTGGTCACTCCGCCTTCGAAACAATGCGCGCTCGTGGAGCCAATGTCACTGACATTGTCGTTCTCGTTGTCGCAGCAGATGACTCTGTCATGCCACAGACCGTCGAAGCGATCAAGCACGCCCAGGCAGCCCAGGTGCCAATGATTGTGGCCATTAACAAGGTAGATAAGCAGCAGGCGGACCCTGATGCTGTCAAACTTGATCTTGGACGTCACGGCATTGAGATCGAAGATTTTGGTGGTGACGTTCAGGCAGTCTGCGTAAGTGGTAAGACTGGACAAGGCATCCCAGAGCTCGAGGAAGCCATCTCCACTCTTTCGGAGCTCCTTGACCACCGAGCCGATCCCAAAGCCTCTGTTGAAGGTTGGGTGCTGGAAGGTACAACGAAGAAGTCGGGCCGCGTAGCTACTGTTCTCGTCCGCAGCGGTACACTCCGACAAGGCACTGCTCTTGTGGCAGGCGCGACCTGGACTCGCGTCCGCAGTTTACGCAATGAAGCTGGTGTCGTTGTCAAAGAAGCTGGACCTGGTATTGCGGTCGAAGTGGACGGCTGGCGCGATCAGCCCATTGCCGGCGATGTAGTCCTACAAGTGGAGGACGAGCAGCACGCCACGTCTGTAACCGAAATTCGTCTCGACAAAGTGGAAAGAGAGCAAATGGCGCGCGACATGGATGCTGTCAACGAGTCTAGGCGTCAAGAAGCCGAGCGCCGCGAGGCAGAAGAGGCCGCCGAAAAGGCCGCCGCGAATGGCGAAGAGGAAGTTGCTGTTGCAGCCAAAGAGAAGGGCCCAGAAATCGTGTCCTTCATCATCAAGGGCGATGTTTCTGGCTCCGTAGAAGCAGTCATCGACTCTGTCTCTGCACTCGGCAACGCAGAAGTATCAACACGCATTCTCCGCCATGGCGTCGGGGCGCCGTCAGAGTTCGACATCCAACACGCCGCCGACGCTCAAGGTCACATCGTCAACTTTAACACCGCCATACCTCCGCATGTGGCACGCTTGGCTGAAGAGAAAGACGTCAAGATTCTGGACAGCAACATCATCTACCGCGTCACCGAGAACGTCAAGGATCTGCTTAGCGAGAAGCTGAAACCCAAGGTCATCCAGAAAGTAATGGGTGAAGCTGAGATAGCCGCGATTTTCGAAATCAGTCTCGGCGGTAAGAAGAAGCTCAAGGTTGCTGGGTCCAAGGTAAGGAATGGTGTTGTGGATCGTGGGGCTAGGGCGCGTGTGCTGAGGAAGGAGGAGGTTGTTCATGATGGTATGTTACTCGTCCTCCCACGATTACTTGAATGTGTGTGCTGATGTGAAATAAAGGAACGATAAGCACCCTCAAAAACGTAAAGAAGGACGTCGAGCAAATGCGCAAGGATACAGAGTGTGGTATCAGTTTCGAGGACTGGGAGGATTTCAAGGTTGGTGATCGTGTTCAGTGCTATGAGGAGACGTTTGAGAAGAGGAGCTTGTAAGATATTGTATGATATATGAATGGCGCGAGTGAATGGGAGGAAGGGTAGAGGGGGATAGTGCATTTGTATAGATGGCATATCAGCGCTGCATTGCGAGGTTTTGATAAATGTCAACTGTATATGTAGTATATGTAGATATAGATGTGGCATATGTATGAATACATATACAACAAGACTACAATCATCACAAGCACACCAGCTCCATTCCCACTTACGGTAATGATGCCGTCCCTCTCGTCACCTATTGAGAGTGTGTCTCAATCATCTGCATACCTAGCACAGCGCCCCACAGCAAACGCCCTCTCCCAAACAACGTCCCCCCTCCTCCCAGCTTGAACACAATATGTACCCCATACTCGCTCAACTAAGCACCAATGAAAAACAAGTCCCAATTAGTATAGTGGTTAGTATTCCGGCTTGTCATCACTTGTTCTCGGGACTTCTCAGTCCTGGTTACAAGTGGCAATGCCGCCGGCGACCTGGGTGGGTTCAATTCCCAGATTGGGAGGCTATCTTTTTTCTGGTGCTTTTTAGCTTTCTGGCCTTGGGCATATTATTAGTATGTGTGTTACATTAGTGGTTGAAGGACATGCACTTCTTGATTTCTGAGAATGATACAGTGTCTGTCGCATTACACGCTCTTCGCTTGTTTTTAGCATGTTGGTGTCCCGGACACGATCGGAGAGAAGGTGACCACGGTTATTGTAGCGATGGGAGGTGTGATCTTGAGGTTTGTGGTATTGTAGATATGCGTGAGATACGCTCGATGCTCGCTAAAATGCTAGATACAAGTCCAGACCAGTCATTTTGACATGCGCCTCATACGCCAACATACCTTGCTGGCGCCGCTTTATACACTTCTTGTCTATCGTACAACTATTGACTCTCTTGTTCTTTCTACTCATACCTGTTTCCGCAGTCGCGCTCCTGCCCATAGCACGGGTGCAAAGTGTCTTGACATGTTGAACCCAAACAGTGATGCGAACCAGAGTATTGTGGTGACTGCGATCGGCGCGAGGAGGAGCTCGGTGTGGTGCAGGAAAGGTAGCGCGTTGTACCCAAGGAAGGTAATGATGAAGTAGTAATTGAGAGCGATGAGGTATAAGGAGTTTGAGAGGAGTTCCGAGACCCTAGACATATTAGTATAATGACACCTCGCTGGGTTTTCTCAACTCACCAATGATCTGTACCAACAAGCGGCATGCACAAAAACTGTACCACATACAAGAACACCCAAACAGGCACGAATGCACGAATCGCTACATCCCAGCAATATCCAAATTCCAGCTCTTCCTTTCCACCATCTGCCTCGTTGAGGTTGTATAAGCCTCTTCTTCGTCCTGGTAGCAGCGAGTTTCCAGGTCCGAGTAATCGTCCGACCAGGAAGAAGAATAGTGTCGCTGTCAGCAGCGAGAGGAGAAGAAAGTGTCCGAATATGAAGACAAGTGTGATGTGTAATGTTTGCGTGAAGCCGTCTGCGTATGCGAAGCCCCATGCGAGAGAAGTAAGCGTGAGGAAGAAGCAGAGGAGGTATGTGAAGGAGGGATCGGGGCGGTGGTAGGTTTTGGTGGTTTGTTTCTGTGGAAGCCTTGTCAGCATGCGGTCGCATATAAACACTGGATAGTCGTACGTGGTAATATATCTGCCTGAAAACCTTCTTGGGTGCTATGATCAGGCTCATGATCTCCCATATGGCCATCTCAAAGTCCATTTGCGGAAACTTGAAGAGGCGCTTGAAGAAGCGCGGCATGCGGACTTCATTACGCCGCGAAGCTGGGGTCGTGGAGCCGAAGTTGGAAGGCCCGCCTGTGGGCCGTGGGAGGGAGATGTGCGGGTTCATTGTGAATGCGCCAGGCGTGCCAGGTAAGTTCGATGAAGCTGTTGCGCTGTTCAGCTGGCTGGCGGAGACAGAGACGTCTGTCTGTTTTCGTCTAGAATTTCGATGTACTCGAGTCAACGAGGGTGCGATTGGTACATGGCCAAGGTGGTAGCGCAACGCGGTGCTTCTGGTGCGAGGGAATGTCAAGCGTTGGTACCTGAGCGATGACATCGGCCGGGCGCCCCAGCCACAGCAGCGCGGTCGTTCGTTGCCAAGACTGCAAGTCGTACCGCAGCCCCGACCTTCATCACTCTCTCCGTCACCAAGCTCCCGCAGAGCTGCTCGTCAACCCCAAAACACTGCGCATTCCCGTCATCAACTGCGCATCTCGACAGTCATCTGCGCTGGTCACTGCTTCTTCCGACACTGTGCTGGCCCCTCGAGCGCGCCTTCTGCATCCGCGCACATCGGCGCACGCTCTTTCCTACTGACCACGCGACAAAGACTTCCATTGTCTGCCATCCACCCACCCTTGTGCCGTTTCTAACAAATACATTTCTGGCTGTCCGGCGACTGCTACTAATACCTCACACAGCTTGCTCTACATCCACCGTCATGGCGGACGACGCAGAGCTCGCTTTCCTCAATGCGCAGCAGGATGAGTACGACCCTGCGACCGCCTACAACCCCACTGGAGATGAGGATTATGACCCCGCGAACAACTACTCCCCACGCGCGCCGTCAGATCAGTCAGCCTCGATGCCTGAGTCGGCAGGCAACACCCCCCCACCCACTGACGGCCAGGACGAGAATGGCCTGCAGCCCCAGCCTGCCCCGGTGTCTGCAGAGGGCTCTGCTGCGCCAACACCAGCAAAGCAGCCGCGCACTAGGGGTGGTTTCGTCGACGAGAGCGAGGACGAGGAAGAGGAGCCTGTCGCGCAGCCCAAGACGGCCGCTTCGGCGCTGCTGAATGCCGCTAGCTCTGCAGATTCACCACAGCGTTCATTTACAAACACACCAAACAATACAGTTCCCACTCCAGATGTACAGTTACATAGTGCACAAGATCAGGGTGCCTCATCCTTTCTCTCTGCTTCTGTCGCTGTTAATGAGTCTGCTCCTATTGCTTCTTCTGTTCCCAATGGCAGTACGCCAGTTCCAGACGCTACTAAGCCAGGTGCTCTCGATTTCTTGAATGTTGCTTCTGCGCGACAGTCTGCAGCAGCTACTCCTGTGCCAACTTCTACAGCTCTCCCAAAGGCTCGTCTTCCGCAGGACCGCATCGGTATCCTTGAAGATCGCATTGCTGAAGATCCGCGTGGTGACATCGAAGCATGGCTGAGTCTAATCGAGGAGCACCGTAGGCGACACAAGAACGACGATGAACGAGCTGTCTTTGAGCGCTTCCTCAAGGTCTTCCCCACAGCAGTAAGCAGCATTAGCTAGGTTCCACACGACTTGGGCTAATATGTCTAGGGCGAACAATGGGTCGAGTTCATCGCCTTCGAGACCGAGCTTGATGAGCTACAGAAGGTTGAAGTCCTGTTCAGCAAATCTGTCCCGCTTGCTCCATATGTGCCTCTCTATTCGTCCTACATCGATTTCATCCGACGTCGCTACAACCTGACCACTGATCAATCTGGTCAGAACCGACAGATCATCACACAAGCTTATGAGTTCGTCTTGGAACAAGTTGGCATTGATGTCAATGCTGGTCGCTTATGGCTGGACTACATCGAAATGCTAAAGACAGGTCCTGGTATCCTTGGTGGCACGAACTGGCAGGACATGCAGAAGATGGATACCTTGCGAAAGGTGTATCAGCGTGCTGTATCAGTACCGCACAATGCCACTCTGGAGATCTGGCGCGAGTACGACAAGTTCGAAATGGGCCTGAACAAGGTTTCGGTAAGTCTTGTGACACAGCTGTAATTGCGCAATGCTAACAATTCATCAGGGTCGCAAGCATCTCCAAGACAAATCGCCCTCCTACATGACTGCCCGCAGTGCCATCAACGTTCTCGATAATAACATCATGCGTGGCGTCAATCGGACCACACTCCCGCGCCTACCACCAGCGCCAGGCTTCGGCGGCCATGAGGACTACATGAACCAGGTCAAGCTGTGGAAGAACTGGATACAGTACGAAAAGAGCGACCCGATCGAAATCGCGACCGACGACCGACCACTCTACAACAAGCGTGTGCTCCACCTATACAAGAATGCCCTCATGGCTCTTCGCTTCTGGCCTGAGCTATGGTATGAGGCAGCCGAGTGGTGCTTCGAGAGCAGTCTACAAGCAGAGGGAGACAAGTGCTTGAGCGATGGTATCGAAGCCAACCCGGAGAGCTGCCTGTTAGCTTTCCGAAAGGCCAACCAGGTCGAGCTCCGAACCGACTTCGAGGATGGTCAGCCTGGCCTCATTGCTAAAGGCAAGGCTGTCCGCGAGCCGTATATCAAGCTTCTGAACACCATCTATGACCTTACTGCGCAAACGAAGAAGCGCGAGGAGCACTCCATTGCCAGGGCGAAGGAGGCTTTTGAGGCACAGAAGAAGGCTGACGAAGCTGCTCGCGCTATCGCACAGAGCAACGGAGGTGACGGCGACGACGAAGATGATGACGAGTTGGCCAAGCGACTACAAGAGAAGGAAACTGCGTTCACTGGTCAATTGCAGGCTATTTCTGCAGGCTACAACGCACAGACCCATATCCTTAAGAAGACTTTGACTTATGCATGGATTGCCTTGATGCGAGCTATGCGACGTGTCCAAGGCAAGGGCTCACCCGGCGCAGACATTGGAGGTTTCCGCAGCGTGTTTGCTGAGGCTCGCAAGCGGGGCAAGTTGCTCAGCGAAGCCTACGTTGCTAGCGCTCTGATTGAGCACCATTGCTACCAAGACCCAGCTGCCAACAAGATCTTCGAGCGTGGCATGAAGTTGTTCCCTGAGGACGAGCATTTTGCGCTAGAATACATCAAGCACCTGATCAAGCTGAATGATTCAACAAGTGAGTACCCGCATCTCTTTTGGGTTTCTCATTGTATTAACCATTGTAGATGCACGTGCTGTCTTTGAGACTGTCGTCGGAAAGATCACATCAAAGCCTGAGAACATTCATAGGGCGAAGCCACTCTTCCTTTTTTTCCATGACTACGAGGCACAGTTTGGCGAACTGGCACAGATCACAAAGCTTGAGCAGCGCATGCTCACGCTGTATCCCGAGGATCCACAGCTGCAACGATTTGCGCAGCGCTTCTCTGGCCCGACTTTCGACCCGACGACTGCGCGTCCTATCATCTCGCCACGTACACAGATGAAGCCTGTCATGCCTTCGATCATGACATCAATTGAGGAGCCCCAACAGGCTGCACCATCACAACAGATCGAGCATCGACTTGCTTCTCCTGCACAGGTCAATTCGCCGCACCTCGGAAGCCTTCTGCCAGTTGCTAATATCAACTCACCGAAACGACCCCTCGAAGATACAGACGACGGCGGTCAGCCCCGCAAGCTTGCTCGAGGCGAATCGCCTGCCCTTAAGGGGGCTGCAGGGCGCCGCCTCGACGCCGCACGTCGCAACCTGACCAACGCTGCCGGTGGTACACCCGTCGCCACAGGTCCGGTACCACTCGCACGCGATATCAATTTCCTCCTCAGCATCATCCCACCAGCACATACATACAAAGAG